AGCCTGTGGAGTCGGCAGCATTGTCGCTCAGTCATCGAAGGTGAATGAGCACAGATCAGTTGGAGCCCACGGGACACTCTCAGCACAGAAAATGCCTCAGTTGATGTCCTTTGGTGAAATCCAGAAGGTTCAGTGTGTAGCCTTATAACACACTTATTTCTCAAGCCACCAAGGTGACTAGATCAAATGTAAGAATTAGAAGTTCTGTGATTCAGAAACTCCTGGAAGTGAATAAACTTTGGGGACAAATAGGCTCAATTATATGCATAAGCAGATGGGAATAGGGAAACCAGTCCTTTTGTGATCACCATTCCATGCTGCTACACATACAAGGGTAAGTCAGAACACACTGTGACTGGAGTCCCAGTTCCCAGGAGCAGTTCGTTTTAAGCAAACCATGTTTAAACACGTCTCTTCGTTTAGTGGATGGTTGCAGACAAGTTCTCTGAGCAACACCCCTTTTCTCATTAACCAAAACCAAGCTCACTGCTCTCAAGTGGGTTCCGACTCATAGCCACCCTGTAAGACTAGTTGTGTGACTTTCTGATCCTGTAACTGTTTATGGGAGTAGAAAGCACCTCATTTTCCCACAGAGCAGCTGGTGGTTGAAAACTGCTGACCCTGTGCCATCAGGGCTCCTTTGTCTCAATAGGGTGCCGTGTAGAAGAGAGAGAAAACGTCCAATCAAAACAGTCGCTTTCAGGGACATCTCCTAGACTGCGATAGATAAATTTATGATAGAGGTCGGCTCAGAAGACCCTTACAGGGGTTTTTGGTGGGGAGGGGGCGGGGGGACAGGGTACTCCACAGGAATAATCTGGATAGATTTTTCTCAGTGAAGGAACACAGGATGACCACAGGAACATATTATGAAGACATTTTAAGAAAACTGGAAACTGCATGGGTGAGGGGAAAAGTCCCTTGAGGATGCCCACACTGTCGTTTTGATGCGGCGTCAAGCACAGAGTGCAGAACTCCTTGAGGACGGGTTGAGACGCTGGAACCACCACCCTCAGGAAGTGGGTAGAGCTGTGTAGAGTCTAGAACCAGTAGCTTCACACTTTTAGATTCTTGGTCAATAAGGGTTTCAATGATGATGTCGTAATACTTTTTGACTTACCCTCCAAGAGCTAGCTCTTGCTTCTGACTGCGGCAGAGGGCTTCATCGTGTGTTTCGCCACCTTTCATTCCCTGGTCCCCCAGTGATGGCACTTAGATTGCCGGCCACTCTCCTCTGCCACAAAATGCTGCATTCGCGATCTCCCAGGTGTCCCTTTCTAGACCTGGGTGAGCACTGCTCTGGGATAGCGCAGTGTTGCCGGTCAGAGAGTGAGCTCCTTGAATGTGACGAATTACTGCAGGCGGCGTTCCCAGAACGGCAGCACTTGTGTACACCCTGACAACGGGAAGTGAGCCCCGGGTCCTCGTGTAGTCACCAGCACTTGGCGATTTCAGCTCACTCTTGTCAGTATGTTGGATTGAAAGTAGTATCTCGTTTTGATTTGCATTTCTCAAATAACAAGTGAAGTTAAGGCTTTCTTCATACACTTAATCATCTCTCAGGTTTCCTCCTCTGGGAATTGCCTGTTCATATTCTTGTTTCAGTCTTTTGGTTGGCTTCCTTGACTAGCATTTATACTAGGACCTGAGTGAAGGCAAAATGCTCCTACAGACTGTTAGGTGCCCAACAGTCAATAGAGGGAAATGCAAAACAATATATCCTAGTAATAAGGGTATGGATGTGCCTCCTTAGGAAGTTCCAAGTTTTGGGTTCAAATCTCAACTCTACTTCTTAGAGTGAGATGACCCTTATCAAGCTTCTCAACCCCTTGGTGCTTCAGTTTTCTTGTATGTAACCTTGTCCCTTAAGGTTGTTGTCAGGACGAGTTTCTATTACATGAAATATTTAAAACATTGCTCTAGCCTGATCTGAGCTGACTCCAGGAAGGATCTGCCCCTGTGGGGCACTGGGTTAGGTGCCTGTCCAACCAAAAGCCTAGCCATCTGGCAAGATGTTTAGGGCCGCCAAGCAGCCAGATTTCTCTATTACTTGTCCTTTGCAGTGGGACTGCTGTCCTCTGAGCTTTATTAAAAATGAAGGGAATCTTCTCTGAGGTTGCAGGATGCGTCACTACGTCAATGCTTCCCCTCATTGGCCTCCAAGTTGGTGAAGTGAATTGCCTGTTCCCTTTGATTGCGTTAGCAGCCCCGGGGCCCAGTCTAGTCACTCTTCTTTCCCATCCGGCTAGACCACTGTCTGCCCCCAAGGGCAGCATACTTGGTTGCTTGGACACGTCTTGCAGCCTGCAAATTAGACAGACGGAATCAATACCCTTGAACCAGGAGAGGCCCGAGTAGCAGAGTTAGTGACACTAGCTGCCTAGAGGGACAGCCTGCCATGGTAGAGGATGTGATTGAATGTTGATTGGACACAACAGCAGAAGATTAACCAAATTATTGTCCCTTTGAGTTTAAATCTTATCTCTTGGATTTTAAAATAAGCCAACTCGGGCAGAATATAGAAGAGCTGCTTTCTTCATTGCTGGGCTGTGCCAAAGGAGTATGTTCCTAGGGCTAGTCAGGTGTCCATGAAGATGGAGATTCATGCTACCGGCGTATATGGACAAAGGAACAAGAGCTCACATTTCGCTTGAGAGCTCCTTCTATATTCTTGGTACTGTAGAGTGTTACCTCTTTTAACTCACTCATAACCTGCAAGTGCAGCATCAGTATCCCCATTGTTCTGGGAAGGAAGTGGTAGAGCTTTGTTTTGAACCCAGCCATGTTGTCTTTCCAATTTACATGTCACAATGTATATTTCTCTTGTCTTCCCCATGGTCCAGCCACAGGGTCAGTTACATGGTAATAATAGTGATTATTTGTTGAGCACTTATTATGTGTCAGGCATTCTTATAAGCACGCTACATACATAAACACAACCACATGAGCCAGATATTCTTCCTAGCTCTAATAATTACTATGAGGCTACAAAGTGGTTTTCTAATTTTATTGTTCCTTCTACATTTATTAAATGTCATTCTAAAGGAAGGGCAGGAGCTTTCCTTTCACCCTCATTTACTTAATTTCTTTTCTTTTGGGACTCATGGAATCTTACTAAACGGGTTGCAATCCATGGCTGTCATTACTCATTTCCATGCTCAGATGGTGCAAGTCTTTAAAGACTGTTGTTAGTCTGTACACCATGTCTACCTCTCTGGCGGATCCTGCTTCACAGTGCCTTCAGTGAATGCGCCCATCAACAGCAGCTTTTTCCTACCCTCTTGTCTTTTAATCTTCTGGGAAATAGGAAACCTAGTGCAATCGTGTTTAAATTGTGCGTAAAGAATCTGTTAGGGAGAACCTGAGTAACATCATTAAGAAGTAAATATCCGCATTTAAGCCTGGATTTTAGCTGTGTAGAGACCCTTCTTCCTTCTCTTTGAGATCTTAATCCATATTCTGATACGTTACCCATGAAAGGTTATATACAATCAATATAGAAGGACCTCAGTTACATGAAAGATAGATTTTGGTTCCTTGACTTACATGTAATGGGGAATCCCATCATCCTTTGGGCAGATGGATAGCCAGATGCTATGTCTGTTGAAGGTCATCACCCAGTATTCACTTTTCAACCTGGTTGAGTCCCATAGACCAGGTCGTTAAGATGAAAGTCAACATGATGCAAAAATGGAGGCTGACACCATCAGATTACCAAATGGAGGATGACTACATTATTACATAGTGCTGCGCAAATTACAGCTCAGCCAAGTTGACTCAGCCGGCACAGCCAGTGTTGCAGTCTGCTTTAGGGAGTAGCAGCAGGGGTCTTAAAAGCAAGGAAGAGTGAGTGGAGAAAATGAAAGACCAAACGAAATCACTAGTCCGAAGAACGAGTGAACCCTAGCCTCCATTACCCTGAGGCCCGAGCTACTGACCGCTGTGGTTGAGATCACAACAGTAGGTCTTGGGCAGAGTGGTTGAAAAATATAGGGAACAAATTCAAAATCATAAAAAGACGAAACGTGACCTGTATCTTAGAGACCGATAGAACTCTTGAGAACTTTAGCCACTCATCAGACCTGGCACTGAACTTCCCCCCAGGCATCACCTTCCAGGTGTCTCAAGTGAACAGTTGACATCCATAAGGAACAAACTCATCAGAGCTACCGAAAGGGCAGCAGTTTTCCAAACACCAAGTGCAGAAGGCAAGAAGGACGAATGGAAACCGGGAAGCCGGGTAGGAAGTAATAAGAGTGCTGTTAACATCAAGGGGGTTACAATTCGTGTCACAAAACAAAGTGTGTATCAACTGTTGAATGGAAAACATCTGTTATATAAACGTTCACCCAAAATAAAATTTTTAAAAATTGGAGATGAATATTTAATTACTACTTCTTAAAGCTATGTGTGTGGAGGATTCCATTTTTTTACATAAAGAGAGGCATATTTGAAAAATCGGAAGGATGTTATATGTGAGGGTAAGTGAAAACCTGCTGTAAGATCTTAGAAACATTTATGAAGCAAAAATATTAAAGCGTGAAACTGCTGCATCTCCTCCTCCAGGTCTCTGCACTTCTGAAGGTGATCTTCCCCTCTCTCTAACCTTTCCCCAAAGAATTCTGCACTCTTCGATTTGCCACGTCAATAAGGCAGTTTTACTTCCTCCAGGCACTCAAGTTGTGAACCTTTTAAATGTTATTTCCACGTTGGAAACAAAAGAGGTGTAAAGGGGCAAGATCAGGGCTGTAGGATGGACGGTAAGCCTTCCCAATGAAATTGCTATCGGACAGGCCTTGCTCCCCTTGAATAATAAACAGGTACCTTCTTGTGATGAAAACACTCCTTGGTGCAGTTTTCTTGACCTTTCCTCCCGCAGTCTGAGAGTCCATGTCCTTCTCTCTCTGCCGCACACACGAGGAAAAGCAACTGCAACCCACAGCATGCTTCAGCATCTGCCCTCGCTGCTTCTGACACTTGTGGTTTGGGATTTCTTCCAGTGTGGTACAGGTCCTGCTTGCTGCTGGGGCTGACCCAAACCTCGGAGATGATTTCAGCAGTGTTTACAAGACCTCCAAGGAGCAGGGCATCCATTCTTTGGAAGGTAAGTGTGGGCTCCCCTGCTGCTCTGGGAGCCGTCCTCTCTATGGCTTCTGTAGCCCTTCTCTGCCAGCCTGACCCTTCTCCTCTGGGAAGTCATCTAACCCAGAAAGCGTGGAACCAGTGCTCATCACAGCCCCTTCTGGGTCTGTAAGTTATGCCACTTCAGACGTTATTACAGAATGAAACAGGTCAAGCCTGATTTTGTGACCCATGGGGAGGGGAAAGCACTGATTTCAACTGGTGTTCTCCCAGAGGTGAAGGCACTGAACCTGCGGAGCTTCAGATGAGTGGTCAGTGGAACAGGGGTCAGTGAGATAATTAAGGCAGCTGCATGGAATGCCGATTTGGTCCTCTTTCACTTCCAGCAGATGGACCCTGGCCCCAAACTAAAAGCGAAAGAAGAAACCTCAGAGCTTCTTGAACTCTTGGGTTCTAGAATACTATTCTCATTCTAATTTGTAAAATACCATCTTTTTTATAGGACTGGTCCCTCAGCTGAATGTCTGATTCATGACAAGTAGTCAACCCTCTCTGTGCCTTGATGTCTATGCTTATACAACGGGGTCGTCATCCCCAGCTCCTCCAGAGGGCTTTGAAGTCATTGCATGAAGTTGTGCATTTGGAGGATGTAGTGTGCACCTGTACCTAAGCTCCTCACCTGTCTGCTGGAGGGCCCCTGGGCAGGGGCATCTGGGTTGCTCTGGGGAATACTTTTTGAAAGTAGGGTTGAGAAGATAGGGAGGTTATTTGGGCTCCAGACAGAAATGAGTGTTTTACATTTGAACTTGTGCCTACCAGACTACCCTTGCTGCCTGTCCATTATCTTGGATCATTCACAGAGGCTGGGATTCTCCTCACTTTCCAACAGAAGGGCCTCTGAGCGGTAGCTGCTATAGGGGTGGTACTGCCAGGAGGACAGACAGCCTTGCTGACTGCCTGGGGGAAGGTTCAGCTGAGAACAGTGGACTTCATCCCCAGCACTGATTTTGGGTGTGGTGGCCTCAGAGCTGCCTCCCAGAGAAAAGTCCTGAGGTCCATGGTGTGAGGAGTGTTAGAAAATATCGGGACACATCACTGCCCAGGTAAAGGGTGATGTCGCCTTCCCAGTCTCGCCACCGCTCACAATCTGCTTTACTTTCTTTTCCCATTTTTAACTCTGTATTGTGGTTTAGGTGAAAGTTTATGGAGCAAACCAGTTTTCCATTCACTGGTGCGTCCGTGACACTTATTGCAGTCCCCCACATGAGAGCACGGTCCCCACTGCTGCCAGTGTTTGTCCTTTCCACCATCCTGCTTTCCTGCTTTCTGAGCTTCATCCCTGGGCAAATGCTTCCCTTTTGATCTCATGTGGTTGGCTGTTCGAAGGAGCAAGCACCTCCCTGATGTTACTGTTCGCCTTATCAACCTGCTTGTTGTTTGGCTGAAAGCCGAGCCACAAAGGTGAGTTCTGTTCCAGGCTTGAAGGGTAGATAGGGGCCTCAGTCTTGGGGGGTTCCACCAGGAAACCAGGTCCTTCTGTCACGGCTCCATTATTATGAGTACGTCTTCCACCACAGCCTCCGCGCTGGGCAGTAATTGCAGCCTGCCCTCAGCTGTTCTTTGGCCTGTTCTCTAAGTCTTGGCCTCTCCTATGGTTACTTGAACTCTTAGCTTTCTCCCTTCCCACCTGACTGTGCTTCGCATGTGCAGGCTGTGGCCTCTGCCTTCTTGGATGCCTCACTGAGCCTGAAGGAAATATATTGACATTATGCTTCAAATGCACAAGTGTCTCCTGAGGCGCACACTTCTGTGCATTTACAGCCTGGCATGGTGTGGGCTGTCCTTTCCTCATTTCAGCCCGGCATTGCCACCCTCAACTTCTTTCACCCAGAACCAAGGCAGAGCATTGGCTTAGAGGGCCTGGCCAGATAAGAAGAAGATCAGTTGGGAGCCTTCTCATCTGTTCAGAATCCTAGAAGGATTTTGTAATGTACAGACTCTCATCTGAAGGCCATCTAATCCTGCCTATATTGCCAAACCCGTCCCCAAGGGTAGGAGTCCCTGCTGCAGCCTCCCTGACCCAGACATCGGCCTGGTTGCTAAGGCCACCCATTCTTAGCTCTAATTGTGTAAATCAGGGGTCCTCAAACTTTTAAAACAGGAGGCCAGTTCACTGTCCCTCAGACCCCGTTGGTGGGCCGGACTATAGTTAAAAAAAAAAAACTATGAACAAATTCCTATGCACACTGCACATATCTTATTTTGAAGTAAAAAAACAAAATGGGGCAAAAACACATGGCAGGCCGCAGTTTGAGGACCCCTGGTGTAAATGAACCTTGTTTTATTAAGAAATCTACCTTCCTGAACACTCTCTTATACTTAATTTTGTACTAAAGTTTAAAACCATATGGAACATGCTACCCTCTCTGTCCCTTGGTTCAACTATTACAGGAGTGGTGACCATTTCCTGCTCTCTGCTGTTTTACAGTTCTTTCAGCTGCTTTTGAACTAGTGATATCCTCACTCTGTCTTCCTCTTGTCCTCTGGATAGACTAGACTTTCTCAGGGTCATTACTGAAACATTACTTCCAGAACAAAGCATGTGTCTCTTGGTTTGCCCTGCATGCTTCCCCCAGTGCAGACCACGTCTGTATTCAGTTCTTGTAACTCAGTGTTCTAATGGTTCTCTCCAGGTTGAAACTCCTATTCAACATTTTAGGTCAGTGGTTGGCAAAGTCTTTATTGGGAAAAGGCAGATAAGAAATACTTGAAGCTCTTCAACGTAGACAATTTGTGTTGTGACCACTCAACTCTGCCACTGAAGTACAACGGCAGCCGTAGATCATACAGAAATGAATGCCTGTGGCGGTCCATGTTCCAAGCCAGATGTGGCCCACAGAATACAACACAGTCTGCCAGTCTCTGTTGTAGGTATTTCTTTCTTTCTATTTGTCTATGATCAGCCTCCTCTGAATTGTTTTTAGCTTGTTTGCCAGCCAATCTTCGCTACAGATAGTTCACAAGAGCATCCATCCGTCCCAATGCACAGGGACAAGATTTGCAGCCCCGGGGTAACCTAGACCACCAGGGCGCCTTGTAGATATGTAAAACAAAACATTGGAAAAGACCAGCGTGTCCCTTGTGAAACAAAGATGAAAAAATTAACTATCGTTCTTATTTTGTATGATTCACACATTTACTGAGTTGGCTTTCTGTGATTGGGTTATTGCATAAATATGTATTGATCGCATTCCGTGAATATCAGGCACTGTTCTAGGTGCTGGTGAGTTAGACTGGCACAGCCCCTGCAGTCATGTACCTTGCGTGCTAGTCTTTGCTTCAGATGTTCATTAGGACTCTACTAAGTACAGAATCCTGAAGCACGCGATAAGAAATTGCCCTTGGGGTCCATCTTGATCCATTATTCAACAGCCACAGAATGTTTTGTTTAACTGGCTGTCAATCCACCAGACTTCATTCCTTTCCAGTCTCTGTTTCCGGAACTACCCTGTCCACGAAGTTGTAGAAGATTTTCTCAGATTTCTTGCAAAGCTCAAAATGTGCCTAGCATTTGTTTGAGTTTTTCACTCCCAATAACTCTTTCCCAAAGGCAGTTAGGTTACACTGAGCTGTTCACGTCTTGTTCTCAGGGGACCCATTCTGCTGCCCAAGCATCTTGGAAGTGTGTGAAGGAGCCATTTTTTTCAAAACACATGCAAGAATTTTATCAGGAGTTTTTGAGAAAGACCTTGTGCTTTAGATGTACAGAAATATATCTGTTACTTTATAAAATCTAAGATTTACCTCTTAACACTTTCTAAAAATAAATCCCAGATTGCCTTGGTCTGCCGGTTTTGCGGCAGCGTTGCTTGTTCTCCCTGGTCTGCCCACTTGGCTGCCTCTTGCCTGGAGAGTTACACTTCTCTCTCCTTAGCGCTTCCTTGACCACTTTTTTCTTTCCTCTTTCTATGTAAGGTTAGTTCATTCTTTCAGCCTTTCAACCAGTGTGTATTGAATACCTACTGTATGCAAGGTACCATACCTAGTTCTGGATCATTCTCGTGTGAAACAAGAGCCCTGGTTCTCTTTTTTTTGGTCTACAATGTAAAGGCTTAGACAAGTTGAATAGGGCTTTAATTTTGGAGCATAGAGTCAGTGCCAAAGGCCAAGTTCATTAATTTTCTATAAATATTTCTGTGAACCTCAGCCTGTGCACAGTATTCAAGGAAAGTGATGAGTTAAAGATTGTGACCTTCTCCTTAAACCCCAGTAGTGTATTCCTTGTCTACTTTATCAGTATTGTTATGAATATCAATACGTTAAATGTGATTTTTGAGTTGTCAAGTATCTTACAGTTGTTATCACATATTACTTTCTTGTATTTATAATTCAATGTTTATTTATTGAGTATTGGGCACTCTGCCAGGTGTTGGAAATACAAAAATAAGTGCAAGGGAGCTTCAAAAAGTCTGAAAAATGAAGCTATCTCCCATGAATTTTTTGAAGCCCGTTTGTATACATGGTCCCGTCCAGTCAAGAAGAAGACAAGAGCTATGAACAGGGAATCATAGTACAGAGTGGTAAATGCAAAGGTAGGTGTGCAAAGGTTATTGGTCTCTGTGGAAAGAGAATGATGAACCCGCCTGGGGACAGGTTGGTGGCAGGTGCTATAGGATCGTGACGTTGGATTAAATGAATGAGAGGTTGCCAAGCAAGCTGAGAGGGATGGACCGACCTTCCAGGCAGAAGGAATAACCTTTCACAGTTACATTGGAGGGTGGAGTCATTGGCCAAGACTGGCTAGGTAAGCAGGGCTGCACATGGGAAGGACTTTATAGGACATTTCTAGGAAGCAAATACTGTGTATCCTGAAGGCCATTGAAGGATTTTAAGTAGGGGACCATTTTGCAGGGGTGGAGGATAAAATTGGAAGAGAGAGATTAGCAATGGTTCCTGACCTTTGGGGGGTGATGGATCCCTTGGAGAAATTGAGAAAGTAGGTTCCTCTCTCCCATAACACAT